TTTAACAATGCAAATTTTAGATTATAATTTATTTTTTATTTAATCATTGACTGATATCACAGAATTTTTAAATAAAAATCTTAATAATAAAAAGTTGATCGTTATTTTTTTAAATATTTACAATAGTCAAATATCTGATTTAAAAATAGTGAATTTTAGTATCATTACACTTGTTTCGAACGCTTTCGTGTAATTCGGCATCAGTAAAATAGCTCAAATTCTTTATATTGTATTTATATTAAGGTATGTATGTAAATATCTTAAAATTTTTATATTGTATTATATAATTTTATTTACTTTCTATATGCTTTGTATAAAATAAATTGTAATGTTATACAGTAATTTTTATGCTTAGAAAAAATAAAAAAAGCATACAACCACAAAGAAAAGAGGACCGCCAGTTGGCGGGGGTGGTGGAGGGCCTCTGGAGGTTGATCTGCTTTTACCAGTTGAAACATTGATTAAATGTTGCAATAAAAACTAATTTAACATAGCATATGTATGTATGCATATATAAATATTATATACAATATATATAATAATATACAGGGTGATTCAAAACGGAAGGTCAACCGGCGAGGAGGTGGTTCAGGGCGATGTTTAGAGTAGAAAAGTCCTTTGCCATTTTTTTTTCTTTCCAACCGTTTCACAGTTACAACAGGTCAAACATTTAATTCACAATTTAGGAGATGTACTTGCTTACGATCATGAAAATAATAATAATATTAGTAATAGTAATAATAATTGACTTTCAGTACCCTTTATTGGAGCAGTTGCTCGAAATGTTCTCCACTTGCACGCAAGCATGCCCGGGCGCGTTCTCTAATAGCGTTGTGCACACTATCCAACAGTCCGTTTTGTTGTCTGATGTCTGCTGCAGCTGCATCAATTCGTTGTAGTAGAACATCTCTGCATGTAATCTCTGTAGCGTACACCCTATCTTTCATATAGCCCCATAAAAAGAAGTCCAGAGATGTTAAATCAGGGGACCGTGCCGGCCACGCCACAGGACCTCTCCTCCCTATCCATCGACCCGGATAGTGTTCATCCAACCACCGACGCACAGGGAGTGCGAAATGTGCCGGCGCGCCATCCTGCTGATACCACATGTGCTGACGCGTATTGAGAGGTACATCTTCCAGCAACGTGTGCAGAGTGTCCTGAAGGAACTGGAGATACTGTGCGGCTCCTATTCTGTCTGGCAGCACGTATGGACCAATTAAACTGCCACCAACTATTCCGGCCCAGACATTGACATTAAATCGGTGCTGATATGAGGAGATTCGTGTAGCACGAGGATTCTGATCCGACCATACATGCAAATTATGTAGGTTCATAATGCCGTCTCGTGTGAAACCCGCCTCATCAGTCCATAAAACATGGTTTAGGAAGTCTGGATCGTCAACAGTTTTGTGTAGAAGCCATCGGCAATACTCCCGACGGCATTCATGGTCTCTTGGTGTGAGCTCTTGCACAGGACGTACGTGGAAAGGATGTAGTCTTTGATCATGCAGTACACGCCACACTGATGATTGTGGCATACCTATGCGACGTGCAATTTGTCGAGTACTAATTGACGGCTCTGCATGCACAATATCAAGAACTTCGATCTCTTGCTGCACATTACCCCTAGGACGACCACGATGATATTGTGGTTGTAGTATGCCTGTCTCTCCCAGCCTTCTGTGTATGGCTTCAAACACGCGTCGTCTAGGATGTTGTCGCTGTGGAAATCGTATCGCGTATTCTCTCTCGGCCTCTGCAGCATTACCATCACAAAATCCATAAACATAATGCATGTCCCGATACTCCGCGTTACTAAACATTTCGATCTACTTTCTTGAGCAACTCTGTTGAAACTGAACTACAGTTCGTAGAGCATTGACAACCTTGTTTACCTTGTTTTACCTTGTTTACATTCGCCAAGGGCATGCTTGCGTGTTATTTTCACGAGCGTAAGCAAGTACATCTCCTGAATTGTGAATTAAATGTTTGACCTATTGTAACTGTGAAACGGTTGGAAAGAAAAAAAAATGGCAAAGGACTTTTCTACTCTAAACATCGCCCTGAACCACCTCCTCGCCGGTTGACCTTCCGTTTTGAATCACCCTGTATATATAAGTATGTGTGTATATTGCAAATCTTTGATCAATTTTGAATAAAGTTTACTTTTAGGAAGATGCATATAGAAATATACATATACCGTAACTTTTATAAGTTATAAATGAGTAAATTTAGCTAAAATGGATTGAGTCGCAATAATATTCGGTAAAAGCAGAACAGCCTTACGAACAGATAATTTTTCTTATTCACCTTCCTCGTGATCGTCAGATTGTCGTCAGATAAAATTAAATCGTACAGATCAGATGGGTGAAATCATGCCATTCTATCCATCGCGTGGGATTAAAACGTTTTGTCATTTCTAGTTAGATAAAAATTGCATTTATTATAAAACAGACCGATTGTTATTAAATAATCACACAAGGCTGTAAATCTTTAATAGCGTCTTGCCGCTGATTTAAATTATGTTATATTAACTTATAACATTGAATTATCAAGAAAATAGGGGGACACGATTGGAAGAGAGGTAGGAATGACAATAAATGCGCTGTCCGGCGTATTTCCATCGACATAATTTATTTGGGATTTAATAATATTTAAAATAATTGCGTGACAGGATATCGATAGGCAGTCTACTCGGTTTCTAGTAAAGCGATACAGCATACACGTTATGCGAGTTTACATATATTAAAATAATCATTGATCTTTTTTCTGTATTCGAGCGCCATTGCACGTGTATACTCAGATGTTAGTAAGCCGATATGACTCTCAATTTACACACGGTTTGCTTATGCACCTCAAAGACTTATTTTTTCGCATCATTCTAAGTAGACTCATCATCTTACACTATCTCGACATATATATATTTTATTTATTTATATATCTCCATATTTTTTATACGCATATGCATTTATAAGCGCGTGCAAATATATTGTATTATGCACGAGATCTCTCGGTGACTGTTGCTCAGTCCACAGGAACATTAAATTCAAAATATAATAGTATTACAATTTATTATTTCAATATATATATAATATAGGTCTATCTACATAATTATATGTATAAGTCATAGAATCTAAATCTTTAAGTGAACGTTACGTCCATGTTTCCAATTATTTACAAAGGTACTGCCAGAGGCGTTCGCTTGTTCCTTCCTCTCTTTCTTTAATCTTGCAAAAATACGGATTGTCGATAGCTTTCTTATACCCGTCTGCTGGAAAGCATGATGAATGAAGTGGCTGAATAGATGCGTCCAAAATGGAGAAAAATTGCGCTTGCATCACGAGCAGTTTGTACCAAAAATAATGTTCTTCGAGCGTACTTTCCTATTTTATGAAAAGAACGGCAAAATATACCCGTGCGTGTAACAATATCGTTATAAACGGTGCGATTACGAAGACATGTTTTCCTTATAAAACGCTGCCCATACACGGCGTGTATAGTCGCGGTACATCAGAGTTTACATTCAATATAAAAGTACATATCGCTTTAAAACTTTATATATACAATGAAATATATCTAAATTTTACAAAATTTTGGTTTAATGTGTAGGGACACGAGAAATTTGCAGTGCTTTTACATTGTAGGTTTTAAAATCTTTTTTCACATGAAGAAATTTCACTAAAAATATACAATACTTTGCTTCACATGATTTGATTATCGTTTTTCTCCAGATTCTTAAGATTTTAAGGAAACATCGAGATAGAAGTTTATATGTATATATGTATATATTCAGAATACAATGCCCTCAATATTTGTTTATAGAAAGACAGGCACAAAAATAACATTCATGTAAGTAAGGATTTACAAGAGCATTTAATTTATACAGTGTGTATTTTCTTTTTGGATGTGTAATTTGTGTAATTTACTTTTAAAAAGTTCTTAATTTAAAAAAGTTTTTATACTCAATACATGCCTTAATATTTATTAAGGCAAACAAGACAATTTTAATAATCTTAAATCAAAAGTTTCGATTAAATTTGATTGTTTGCGGACTTGACGAAGAAATCTCGGTAATGATTAATAATTTCTAAATAAATCGTTTTAAATATAAGGGAATTTAATCGTAAATTTTCTGTGGTAAAACGTAATGTATATCATTCTGAATGAGGTCATAATTACAACAAACGGCATTTAACAGTAAAAAAATATCTTTGATACAATCAAATATGTGCAGAATATGTGCGTTATAATTAACGTTTGCATAGTAATAGTAAAGTTTTCTGTTACTCAAAAAAGTTGACTTAATTATATATTTGTAGTTCATTAATATGTAGACCATCCGAAGTTTTTCTTGTATGTATTTAGAATGTGGCAACATAAGTTAGGTGTATGCTATTACCGAAAGTAAGAAATCGAAAATATTTCTTGAAAGTTCATGCGCCATCTACGAACATATGTCCCGTTTCAAGTTACGTAAACTTTTAAGTACCATAATGAAATCAAATTCTAAAACTGTCTCAAATCCTAGTAAATTATTTACTATTTAACACATTTAATACATTCGCCTTTAACACATCTAACACAAATTGTTTATGCTATCTTTGACAAAAATATAATGTAAGAATGCTGTTGACAAATTAAGAAAATCATATCACAAGTATCGAATCATTTATCGTTGACCTAGGTGCATAATTAACATGAAGAAATACTACAATAAATATCACATGGAGCAATGATATTTCAGTTAAATACCGTAGCGATAGGATAAAAAGTCCATTCCTTAATCTTATAAGAATTAGATTTCGGGCGTTACACGTTTAACAACGGTCTTTACAATCATTCATAAAATAATAATTTAGATACTTTCATATACGGGGGTAAGTAAGCTCAAGCATACGACTGATCCAACGATATAGCTATTTTATTCCCTTTCTCGACCCAATTTCTAAGACGTCCTCTAAGTTCTTCGAGACTTTTCGATTTTGCCTTGTTTATCCTCTTGTACTTGACGTCTTTTGGCTTCGTCACGGATCTGTGATTGCTCATTACCCTATTGTATGTCACCTGAAAGCACAAATAGGATTCTTTAAAGAAATCAATTTACACATACACTAGCACGGACTTTAAAGCTAAGCGCAAGGAAAATACAGATACGGAGTACACTTTAAATCAAAATGCAAGTTTGCGTTACATTCTAAGTTGAAATAAATTTTGCATTTCTTCATTAGAGCATTTCAGCTCAGGTATTTCACAAATATTTCCCGGCAAATCGAATTCCCTTACACGCCAATAAGGTTTCACGATTTCGCTTCTCTTACCTGCGCCTGCTGGCTTTCGTCTCTGGGTCTTTCGCTGGGCGGAGAATCCGTGTCTTGAGCCAGCCTCTCGAAGCTGCCGTAGAGATCCTGAAGCCTGCCTTTTCCGTTGCCCAAGTTTTTCGTTCTCCTGTCTTCATACTCTGAATTCTCTGTCGACTCCGACGGATCCTGATTATTCTCGCTGTCACCGTCTTCCTCCACGGAATACACGGTTTCTAGGACCTCCGGTCTTCTGAGGAAACCGTTGCACCGGCGCATCGACGAATACTTGTTCGACGGCTCCACCGCATCGGATACGGAACGGATCACAGTTACGTCAGTAATATTAGAACGAAACCTGTGGAATAGAATTAGAATAAATATACATATACAGCGTAGACTCGACTGACGGACGATCTATTTTAGACGAGGGGTAACCTAGGACATTGTGGTGTACAGATTTCGGGCATTAGTAGGCATTTTTGGGAATTAGTGGGTGTTATGTGGCCTTGCTGGGGCATTATAAAAAAAATCTTAACAGATAAAAAGACAAAACAAGAGATGCGATAAGATAATAAGATAAAGTAATGCCCACTGGGCATTAGTAGGCATTGATGTACCAGCGGTTTATCTCTCGAATTTAGAAGAACATGATTTTTAACTTCATGTATTTTCGAACAAACAAATCTATATTTTAATATGCATTTTATGCATCTGGATATTCGAAGTCTCTTCGAACGGTTTTTGTGTTGCAACACGCATGAAGTTGTAAGCAGAATCTTGTTCCGAATTTAAAATATGTTGCAACTATCGCGGCAATTTTGAACGTATTTTAATAAGACGCTGGCACAAGTGATTATTTCTAACATTACCAAAGCATTGTCAAAATTATTTCTCGTCACAATGCGTATTGGAGACGCTTAAATTTTTCCGAAAGAAATAAAAATCAGACCTTTCGGTGCCTCTTGGCTCTATCTCACATTTGCTGATCATATTCTATCTAACATTTGAAACAGGGGGCATTAGTAATATAAATGAATCTGAAAAATCAATGAGTGGCTAAGAGCCTTGACTAGGTGTTAGTGTCAGAAAGGTAAGAATTTTGTTTATTAAAACAAAAATTACAGACGTTTCGGTCTTTCTTTAGACCATCCTCAGTGTATAAATATAAAAGACAAAGAGTAAAAGGAAATAATTTAAATGTAAAAGTCAATGATTAAAATTCGCTCGCAACGCAATATATAAGAAAGATGTATTCGGATTTATTACGACTGCCAATCGAGAGGTCATCTTTTCGTCGAGACATAAGCTTTGGAGTTATCAAGCTGGTAAATGTCGACTGGTTTTATAAATGAATCTATCTAAGAAACGCTCACCTCGGTGGGGCAGGATCGTCCGCGGTTTCCTCAAGCACCACGGCGCTATCGCTATCACCGAGACTGTCCAATCTGTCCAGGGCGTCGCAGGGTGGCGAGTCCCTGGTGCTCGTGCTTCTCTCCGCCAATCTGCTCTGCAATTGCCGGATCACCCTTTGTTGTCGTAGAATAATGGACTCTCGCTGACTCAGACTGGCCTCGATCTCCTTCTGCTTTCTGCAGAGCCTGGACTCGAACAGCAGAAGCTGCGACGACAACGTACGTAGCTGCTCGGCTTTCTCCCGCGTCAGTCGGGCCACCAGGTCCTCCTGCGAAACGTCACATGATTGACATTCAACGGCCGGCCGCGTCGATTTCCCACATTAATTCGCGCGCGCGAATAAACCGCGGCTCTCCGGCCGCGCGAATTAATAACGGCACGAATTCGCAGCCGGGCGCGGCCATTTACTTCGGATATTAAGTAATTAATTAGCAAGCGATCTCTCGCTCCGCCGTTATTATTAATATTTGCTTAGCGCCGCTAATTAATTTCCCCCGCTCTACCATTCCCCAGCTCGGGCGGGACGTCGCTCACCGGGGCGGTGCGGTGATAGATCGTATTTCTTTTCTGTTCTCCTCTCTCTTTTGTTTTTTATCGGACACCGGCTCGCGCGCGTTCGCGCGAATCTCATTATTGTTCCGCATCTCTCGGGTCCAGTTGCTTTACGCGTCACCGGTGCGTCCGAGATACGTGCGTTTCCGCCTCTGCGCGCGTCGGAGGAATACACGTGCGGCGGGGCTGCGTGTTTGCACAACGGTGTACGGTATACGCGCGCCGCACGTATCCGGCAGGCCGTTTTGCATGAGCATTGCCCCGCGTCTCTTCCTTCCGTCCTCCCGCGTGGAGGATGAGTGCATTACTCTCGCTATTGTGTGCAACATAAACGGTACCGCAAGACGGCCAGGTGCTACCGCCATTGCGTGTCACGCGCCTCGAGGACGGACGCGAAAAATAACTGAGACATTTCGCGGATAGACGCACGCTGTCAACGACCGGTTAATGCCTCAAAGAACAGATTCTGCTTGAAGAAAGGGGTAGCTTCTGCCTCAGACAGGCGCGTTTCTGTAGGGAACAAAAGCCGCACCGAATGATTCCGTACAATCTCGAGTCGAAATGGTATTTTGACACGTTTAAGGATAATTTACACCTACTTAGCTGATCTATACACCTACATAGACCAGCAATAACCTACTTTGATGATGTACCTTTTTACTCCTCCCTTGAATTTTTTATTCTAAAAATTTACTTTAGCCTCTACTTAAAAGGACTTTTGATGCTAAACTGGCAAAAGTAGAAATTTCCGACACTACTCAATTTTTAAGTAGGAGTAAATTGTGTACTTGAAGTTCGACCTCTTTTGCTGACTTAGGTCCTACTATAAAATAGAATTAAAGGTTCGATATAGGGCCAAAATATTTTCTCCGTGTAGGAGACGTTCAGAAAACTAATAGATAACCCGAGTCGAAATTTTGGCCCTGTGTTGAACCTTTAATTCTATTATATAGTAGGATCTAGGACAGTAAGAGAGCTGTCGAACTGCAAGTACAAAATTTACCCCTACTTTAAAACCAATAGTGTCGGAAATTTCTGCTTTTGCCAATTTAGCATTAAAGTCCTTTTAAGTAGGGGCTAAAGTAAATTTTTAGAATTAAAGATTCAATGGAGGAGTAAAAAAATATAACGTCATCAAAGTAGGTTATTGCTGGTCTATGTAGGTGTGTACAGGGTGAGTCTTTCCATATCCGACAAAATTTTTGAGAAGGTAGAACGGATCGAGATGAACGGAAAAGTCCTGTACCATGTTGCA